GGTCTGTCTTTGAGCTAAACTTGACAGCTGCTTCAGCCTCTCAGTTCTCCCAGAGATTAACATTAAATATTTTGTATTTCCAACTCCTGTCCCACCCAGGATTCACTCTGATTATATAAAACATTTAGAGAGCCAGGGTAATAGCAAAAGCTGAAGCATCTGGAATACTGTGGTTGAGTCATGCAAGGAAGTCCTTAGAGCCAGGACTGAACCATCAGGAAAAAATCTGGCACAACTGCAGGGGGTGCCATTCTCAAGGACTACATGAGAATGTGCTACAGAGTTATGCAGTGAGGCTGTCTTATCAAGAGCATGTCTCATTGTGATACTGTACTTACCATAAACCAGTATTCTATGGAACTACCCTGAACCCTTTTGTTCATAATTATTTTATTCCCTAGCAATGAGTTCCATGGTTATGGTACCAGGTGGGTCTGTAGGTGCAGCGCAAGAGGACCAAGGATGGACAATGTCTGCTTCCATCATATCAAGACCAAGAACAACAACTCAGTATAAGAAAGTAATAGAAAAATGTCTTATGTGAATATATAAAACAGAAAATCTCTATTGAACACTGCCAAGCAGTGTTCTCAGTATTTCTCATATATCTCATTTATTCTTCAACATCTTCCATTTTATATCTGAGAAGAAGAAGCACAGGGAAATTGAATAACTGACATAAGCTCACTCAGGTAATAAGAGAGGGTCACACTGAAAACTAAGTTATACTTCAGAACCCTTGCCCTTCATCACTCTAAACGAAGACTTCTTATCCATGCTCCCAATGGAGAAGGGAGGGAAGTAGTGTGGAAGGTCCAAAATAACTCTTCCACAGGTAAGCTGCTGAGACCTGAAGGTAAGGAAGGGGGTCTCAATCAGACCCATTCGAGGTGTTCTTAGCTGCTAAGAAAGGAATCCCTTCTACTTGTCCTTAGCCCCATAACCTGTCGCTGGTCCCATAAACCTATCAGGTCAGGAGTCAAACAAGATACAAGACACTGAGAAGTGAGAGTGTGCACATACCTCAAAGGGTCAAGATGTGCCCCGGAATAGATTAAGGACTATAGAAAAGGGAGTGGACATGTCCCTCTTAAGAATGATAATTATTATGTAGCTCACATTTATTTATTAGAGACTACTACAAGCATTTTACACATATTATTTAATCACAACATCAATTCTATGAAATAAGTAGTTATGATCCCCATTTTGTAGATAATGAAACTGGGCACAGTTAAGTAGGCAACCTACTTGCCCAAGGCCACAAGGCTGTGAGAAACAGGGCTGGAAGGATTTGAACCCAGGCATCCTGGACATCTCCCCAACTCCTCGTCCTTCCTCTCAGGCTCATCTGGATGTCCCTCATCGAAGTCATTTGGAGGTGCCCCCAGCCTCCCCATCTTCATCCTCTTCCACTACCCATCCCACCAACTCCTTTCCAGCAGCCCAGTGGTATTGGTGCAAGGAATGTTCATAACAAAGAAACCCACTTTAAAAGTAAGGAGATCTCTCTTGTCCAGGAGATCAAAGGACCTCACATTGGGAGAACAAACGCTAAAGGAAAAGGCAAATGAAAGAGGAAAAGTTCACACTTGGGGCTGAGAAACAGATGGTGCAGAAGATTGGGTGGAGTAGGGGCTTGACTGCCACCCCCACCCCAGGCCTTGGGGGAGGGGTCAGGAGGTGCTCCTCAGAAACCTTGACAAACTTTCCACCAGCCCCAAGAAGAATTCTACCTCCCATGAAGAATCAAGAAAAGAAATCTCTCTTAAGATTTTTACTTTCAAACACAGGAGATTTTCTAGAGATCTGGTGTATCGAGGTATAGGAGTAGCGGGCTTTCAAATTTTGCAGAAAATGTACTTTCAGATCCCCCAACAAATAAAATTTCTCTCACTACCTCAAGGGCTGGAAGAGTCTGTGAGAGCAGCAGCCGGCATCTATTCTGCAAAGTTTAACAAAGACCATCGTCAACTTAGTTCAATCGCAGCAAATTGTTTTCATTTGGTTGGTTGGTTGTTTAACCATCTTCTCCTTTGTTGTTTATGATAAAGAAATACATAGTGATCTTTTCTTTCTCCAAATAAATGCCTTCTGGGTAGACCAATCCGGGGCCTCAGATTCAAAGTGGAATTGTAGGAGAGAACAAAGTGGGAAAAAGGTCAGTAGCTTTGCATCTGAAGAAGCAAGAGGCTCAGATTTATTGTTGATTATTTTGAGTGTACCTCTCTGTTAACAGAGAATTGATTTGCCCCTCACCATTCCCTGGGGGAATCTGATGGTTCCTTCTGCTATGACCAAAAATCAAATGGGCAGCCTTCCCCCTTTCTCCTGTTTCTCCTGTCATGTCTCCCTCCACCGGGACCTGTCAGCCCCAGTCTGAGGCCCAGCTCCACCATCCTTGTGGCCCTGCTCTAACCACTACTCCTCCCTGCTTTCTTGCCCCTGGTCCAAAGTTGTTGGGTCCACAAATGCTCCAACCAGAAGGCTCTACCAGTCAGCTTACATCGAATTACTCCAAGCAAGGGAGTTTCCACAGACACTTGCTCTGTCCCCTCTGTCAAGGTGACCCTTTTGGGGAAGTCAACCTTGGTGGCAATTTCAATTAAATACAGAGAAGCAGTTAATAGATTTTTTTTTTTAAAGACAGAGGGCAAAACAGCAGCTTCTGGAAAAGCTAGGCTTCCTCTTGCAACACACTTCTCTTCCTCTCCAGCTGGACTGTGCAATTATTGATAACGTTGCCTCTCCTATAATGGCACCAATTTCATTAGGAAGAAAATGCTCAGCGTTTCCTACACACACTCTTAGTCCTTTTCGCCGCCTCTCTTTCTTTGAAAGGTCAAGAATTAAATAGATGGGATGGATAAGCGCCCCCCTTGGTCCCGCTGCCCCCCCCACCAGCTGTCTTGGCTCCGGGGCATTTGGGCTCCCCGGGTAACTGGAATCAATAAAGCAGAAGCCGGGAGCCTGCAGGCCCATGTCATCTCAACGGCTCTGAGGGGCGAGTGAGCGATGGAGGTTTGTTGGCCATGGCGGAGCTTCCTAAGCTCTGGTCCCCTGCCTCCGCTGACCAAAGGTTTGTCAGTGGGATAGTCAGGGGACAATAGCTGCCCCTGCGGGCGTGCTGTTGGATTGTTTGGAAAACCTAAGGGCGCTTTGAGGTAAAAAGGTCAGCACAGGATTTGGATCTACCTCTGCCTTCTCTGCCCACCCCATAGACCCTCCCCGCAACTGATTCTCCCCCCAACCAATCTATCCTCCAACTTGCCCTCCCTGGGGCCACCGTGTCCTTCTCCCGCACCCAACCCCTATGCTGCTCTCCCCTTTGGGGGCTGAGGTCCAGCACTTGAGGCCTGGGGCGTTCACCTTGAGCCTGGGTGGATGTCACTGAGCCAGGTAGATGGCATTTTGGAGGTGGGCCGGCTGTGGCCTAGTGTCTCAGGCACTCTGGTTTCTGACCTTTCCACGTTCCAGGTGGGTGCAAGGGTGCTGGGTTGTGGGTGACCCATCCTCTGACTTTCTCTGAACAAGAACTGGTTGGGACGGGGACATTACACAGCCTCCCTACCCGCTTTACCCCTTCAGCAAATATTTACTGAGTGCCCACCCTATGCTAGGCCCTGCACTGGGTGGGGTGCAGAGGAGCTGGGGAAATGGAGTAGAGAACCCCTCACCTTCTTCCACACTTCCTACTCCTTTTACACCTTTTTCTGTTTCTTCCCAGCAGATCTGTTTGTCTCCTTTTCTGCCTTCCTTTCAGGACTCTCCCTCAACTGGTTCTTCCCCCCACTGCCTTTTTCCTCCAGTTCTGTCCTGGTTCTTCCAGTGACGGAAAACTGACATCCATCAGTTCTGGAGGCCTAGGGCCCAGTTCTGCTTTGGATCCACCCTCTTCTTTCCAGCCCAACCAGCCTTGGCCAACTCTGTCCTCACCTCTCCCCTGGGCTCTTAGAGTATGAAGCCTCCTCTACCCTGAGGTGGAGGAGCAGAAGCAGGCGGGAAGAAGAGAAAACACAGATTTTATTGAAATGAGGTAGTTGGAGGTACAGAAAAAAACCCGGCTTGCTTGGGGTTCAGGTTTCCAGAAACTTGGATGGTGCCTCCACTGTCTCCAAGGTTCAGAGAAATGCTTACTGCTGTTTGGAGCTCTCACTGAACCTGGCCCTCCCCGCGCCCCCACCCCCACCCCCAAGGTAGAGAGGGGAGGAGGGTCCTGGATTTTCCAGGAAGCTATAAATAGGGGAGGAACCGGTGGGGACATGCCTGCGCCTTCCTGGTAGAGGCTTTTTAGGGACAGGCCTCACACGACATTCCAGAAATCTTTGTAGTACCAAGTTCCAAAACACTTTGGTGGCTTAGAAATGAGGTCGCTGGTAGGAAGAGGCAGGTTTCAGAAAACAACCTCTGGAAGCGGCGATAGTGCAATACAAACGCGCGGGAGGGGATGAATAAGGTTAGATTGCGGAGGGGACTTTTTGGTCTGTCACAAGGCACCTGGTGCTACTGTAAGGTCTGTGGTGACTGGAGAAATGAAGTATTGGTGATATGCCTGCACCCAAATACCTCTCACACAAGAAACTTCGAGTCCTTCTCTGTCCCGGGCCCAGAAGCGGGGAGATGGGATACAAGTGAGTGCATGAGGAGCGTCCTCGCAGCTCAAAGGCACTGAACTGAACAAACCAAAGCTGGGAAGGGCAAGCAGAATCCAGGAGGATGCAGCTTGCGCACCCTCCCCCGCCCCCCCGCCGCCCCCGTGCTAATCCCCAGATCAAAGGCGAAAGGAAGCCCTTCCCTCCACATTTGACAGGTTCCGTGTCTCCCACACCTATGGTGCGATAGGGTGCCCGGCCATCAGCACCTCGCCCAGACCGGAGAAAAGTGTTTCCCCATTTCTCCCCAAAGCAGCTAAACT